CCTCAAACAGTTGCCGTTCGTATAGCTTCATTTGTTTGCTTAGTGACATATTATCTTTACGATGCATATAGCCCCACTCTAAGCATTTCTATCACTCTAGGTCCAGCGGTCCAGCGGTCCAGCGTTAAAGGACCAGTACCAAGCGGATGGAACCGAGTGGGCATATTTTTTTTAATGTATAAGCTCACCAACAATCCACCGATTCTGTATCAAGTTTTGCCTGACCTGGCGGCATAAGTGGTGGCGGCACTGAGGAACTGCCTTTTGAAGGCAGGAATTGCCATCAGTTTCGATGAAGATTTTTCGAATTTCTCTCACCCGAAGAACACTGTCCCAGGTACTGTGGCTTCCTCCTCTACTTTGAACTGCAATGAAGAGCTTGGTCAGACGGTTTTTGGTCGTGCTCCTGAGCATGGGTTGCGGTATATTAACTTGTTTCTTAATCCTTGGATTTTTCAATCCTTTAGAACTCTATGTCGAACTGAAATTTTTATTAGTTAGGTAATTGATGTATTATACTATATTACTTGTTATTTAATTCACTTCCTTCGAGATCGGGGAATAGGGCAATTCAATGTCATGAAAGTGCCCATAGAATTGGAAGTGCGGGACAGTTGTTTTTCCATTTTTTTAGGTTTTTTCCCTGTTATGGGACTTCTCGTTTATGTGAAGGTGCTGTTGAAACATTAGTTATTCCTATCGACTATGTTCTTGTGGGAGGTGGTGAAGTGGCAAATGGCGCATTCACACACACGCATGGTCCTCTGATCGAATCCTGGATCGATGCTTGCTCGAGCAAACCAGACCACCCGTCGCTTTTAGGTTGGCCAACGGGGTACCAGACTCGTGTGGGAGGATAGAAGCACGGATTTGTCATCAGCCGACCTCCGCCACTCACTGTATAGGCCAAATACGCATTGAACATGCAACTACGATTCTGAATTGAAGTCGAATGTGGGGCGCTCCCAAAACGGGTTTTATTATCCCCGGAACAATGTTAATATTACTGTCACTATTACTAATTATTCCTACGCAAGTGAGAANCTTCCCACTTAGTTGAGGCATGTCCCATTTCCAGTTTGGCCCGAAGTTTCAGGTGAGTTTTCCGAATAGTCATGCGTACTGAGACTTCGAGAGAATTGCAGTGGTTTTTGATGACGGCGTCATCGTCACCCAATCCGACCGGCTGTCGGTGACTCAATAGGCGACGACAGTGGCGTTTGAGAACGCGGTAGTGCTCGTAGACTTGTTCTGGCGTCTGTTGGCGTTCCCCCGTTGAGCTGTCGTCATTTCGCACCATTTCATTGCCACCAACCAACCACCCTGTTCCCTCTCCCACACGCTCACACTCACACCTGAACACACACAAATTCTCGATTGGTGACGTATTTTCGTGTTCCGTTGCCGGCTTGATACCGACTTCATGGGTGTTGCATTTCGTATAGTGTATCAGGTGTTCGCAGTGTGTTTTCCCAGATCCGACCGCGGGGTATTTTCCGTTTTAGCTAATTTGGGAAGGTGATTTGCCCTTTTGCGCTGATTTGTAATGCTATTGTTGGTCGCTTTCTTTGTTC